TTCCAAAGTGTGGACAAATATTTTTTAATAATTACATATTTATTTTAACATATTAGGAAAAAAATAGCCAGTACATCCCACAAATCATTTCCCGAATATTACTGCTTAAACAAGACTGAGTAAAAAAGTTACTAAGCAACTAATGGATATGAAAAAGCCACAGAGAACATGGAAAAATTAAAGGGTGTTTGTTATACAACTGACTTAAGGAAATGCTGCTGGCCCTGTTAAGGGCCCAGGCTAGGTATTCACACATTTGGCTTCAAATTCAAACTGCACCACTTCCTTGCTCTGGATGAAGTTCCTACCTCAGAGTTATTGTGAGGATTAAGCTAATCATACAGCTCAGTCTGGCTAGCTCTTCCAAAGTTCTCTACTGCCTTCCAGAAGAAAGCAGACTCTGGCTGACTCTCATGATAGGCTCTGCTAAGATCTCCAGTGTCACCTTTTGCTCCTTCTTCCTCACTTCTGACATCCTGATCACCAAAACTTCATATGCTCTCCCGGACCAGCTCTCTTCCACACTGTTTTCCTTCCCTGAGATTGCCCCTGGCTAACTCCTAATCATTCTTCAGGTCTTGGTCCTGAGGTCACGTCCTTTAAACTGTCCCAGGCCACTGGGGCCAGAGGAGGTACCTGCTATACGTGCCCAATACTTCCCTATGGCCTTCTGCACTAGCCCATCCCACGCCATGCCCTAATACCTGCAGCCCCGCGCCCAACTGTGAGCTCTACCTTCCTGCCTCCCACTCACAGAATGAGAGAATCCTAGAGGGTGGGAACCGCAAAGCCCTTGCAGACCATCCAGTCCGCTGCCTCAACTAGTCGGGTGGAGAAACTGAGGCCTGTGCAACAGTTAAGAACCACCCTTGGGGTTTACCATGAGCCCGCACAGTGCTATATATCCTACAGCTGCCTGGCCAGTTGGGTGTTATCCTTAACCCATCCACCAGTTAGGAAGCTGCCTCAGAGATGTCCAACATGAAATTGAGCATTTCAATGCTTCCTTACTTTTGCTGTGAATTTGCCCATTTTCCTACGGCAACGATGATATTTCTTTTCACTGATCAGTAAGAATACATACACACACACACACACACACAGGTCCTTTGCTTGCCATGCAACTGCAAATAATTTTTTCTGGTTAGTAGGCTTTACTCTTGTTCTGGTTTTGACACACAAACTCTTCAGGTCTATTCAGACAATCGTCTGCCTTTTTTCCTAACGTTATACTTGGACTCCACTCTCTGAGGTTTCCTTCACAGAGGAATACGCCTGCCCCGCCAACTGTGTCTGCCCGGTGCTAAACTCTACCTGCGGTCACTGACACCCCACAACAGCTTGGAAGGTAGGTGAAAGCCGGGTCCCGGGTTCGCGGCCGGCGGGGGAGGAAACTACCCCCTGCACCAGCCACCGCGGGGCGGGCGGGGAGGGTGTGGGCCGGAAGCCTCGCGTCGCCGCCTGCTTTTCCTGTACCGCCCGGCCGGAAGGCCCTCGCCGAGACCCGCCCCCGGCGCCGCGTCTCACCTCCTGCAGCGACTCCGGCACCAGCGCGGGCACGATGGGTCGTTTCACGCCGCGCTGCTCCTTTTCCCTCTCCCCGCCCTTCTCCTTCCCGTTCTCCGCATCCCCCTTCTCCGCCTGGGTCATCGCGGCCGCGGGCGCCCACCGCCCTCCACCCTCAGGGACGCGCCGCACCCGCCGGAACTGGAGGGGCCCTGCGCACGCGTAGCCTCCAGCCGGCTGCCCGGCAACCAAGATGGCCGTCGAGCAGCCGCCCGGGAGACTTCCGGGAAAACGGAGGGGCGGAGCCGCCCGGAGGAGGTGGACGCGGTGGGGGTGGGGCGTGGATGGGTGGGTGTTGCTGTGATTGGTCCTGGCGGTAGCATGCCCACAGCGGACTTGTTTTTATTTTGAGCGCTCACCAAGGAGCAGCTACTACCCGGCATCGCGCTTCGCTCACAGCTGCGTCTTCCTGGCTTCCCAGACTCCACACATACTCCTAGTCCTCATACTGCGCTGGTTATGCTCAGTCCAGCCTCTGATGTTAAGGTGTTCTTGAGTTAGGGCGCCTCACGCCACACCCCTTGGATGACTTTATCCAGTTTCATGGCTTTACATATGAAGGTAATTCCCAAATACGTGATTCCAGTCTGCAAGTCTCCTTGAGATCCAGACTGATAACCAGTTGCCTATTTGGTATCTCCATTTGGATGTCCACAAGGCGTTGCAAATGAGCCCAAACTGGAACTCTTGATCCGCACCCCCCCGCCAAAAAAAACCCTACTGCTACTTTCACCAACTCAGTAAATACCAGGTTGATTCTTCAGTTGTCCAATTCATCAGCAAATCTGGTAGTCGCCAAGATACATCTTCAAAGAACCCACTTCTCCACTCCTACTGCTACTACTTAGCCCAAACTCGTATCATCTCACGTGGGCTGTAAAAGCCTTACAGCCCAACCCCCTGCTTGGTCTTTCTTTAGTCTGTTCTTAATTCGGTTGCCCAAGTGTCAAGTTGTAAAGTATGTAGTTAAGTCAGTACTACAGACCCAGCACTCATTTAATACCACCAATGTGTCATCTCAAAAATTAAACCCATGCTTTGTTTCCCCTTGCTCATGGAACAGAATCTAAACCACAGCCTAGAAAACCATTCTTAATCCAGTCCTTGCTACATCTCTAAATTCACCTCATCTCTCTCCTTCTGTTGGCATCTCCAGCTACACTTACTTTCTTCCAGCTTCTTGGACATGCCAAGCCCTTCCCGTCATTGAGCCATCACTCGTTGTCCCCTTTGCCTTGGGTGCTCTTCCCTCAGCTGGCTTTCTCGGCCTGTCTCAACTCAAATGTTACCTCAGAGAAGCCTCCCTGTTATCTTATTTCCTTTGAAGCAGGAATTAAGTCTGCATTTAACTTGCCTGCTGTTTCCCACACTAGAAAGTAAGCTCCATGAAGAGGAACTTTGTCTTATTCGCCACTGTTATCTTCAGCACATAGTAGGCGCCCAATAATTATTTGTGGATTAAATACTGATGAAGAATCCCTTGAAGTAGGAATTTAATCCCCACTTCACAGATGAGTACACTGGGATAGAATGACATAACTTACTCAGGAGCATAAGCTATTGAGAGCAAAGACAAGATTTGAACACAAGCTACTCAAGAGGCTACATTTCTGCCCTACAGCAGTCTACCTCATGCTCAGAGTGAGAGAGCTAAATATCGGAGGAAGTCAGGACTATAGAATAGCCCTAAAGAGTCCTGCAGAGGAGTTAGATGGAGGGGCAGGGGGGCGGGGATCATGAATCACACAGAGAAGCCCTCATGTCCCGAGACTGCCCCGCCCCCCCTTAAGTGATTTGACAGAATGACTCTGCCATTCACTAGTCATACAATCACAAAACTTTGCTGAGCCCTTGCATGTTTTCTGTATAATGCAAACATCATCTACCTACTGTAGTGTGTCAGAATTAATATGTAAAACATAAAATGTCTGACAGACTTGAGTGGTCAGTAAACTGTCTCTGTTATCCTTAACCTGAAAATTGTCTTATAATTGCCCCTTATGTTTGAAGATCAGTATGTCACTACATCTCCATTTCCTGGCAAATAGGGTTGAATACTTCCAAATACTTCCAACAAATACTTCCAAATAAATATAAAAATGCTTTTACCAAGGGCGCCTGGGTGGCTCAGTCGGTTAAGCATCTGCCTTTGGCTCAAGTCATGATCCCAGGGTCCTGGGGTCGAGCCCCGTGTTAGGCTCCCTGCTCAGTGGGGAGTCTGCTTCTTCCTTGGCACACCCCGCCCCCTGCTTGTGTGCTCACTCTCTCAAAATGTTAAAAAAAAAAAATGCTTTTACCTGAAACACTTTGATTCAAAGACTGTTCAACACAAAGCAGAATTATCTGTATTATTCATTTTTCCAAGATATTTCAGTGCCTATTACATGTAGACACTGTTCAAAGCATTGGGGTAAAAAAGACAAAATCTCTAACTTCACTGAGCTTCCATTCTAGTGAAAGAATATGAGAGTTACCAGCGTTCACGGGGGTGAAAGCCAACAGGCAGTATCTTAAGCAATGATTTAGAATTCAAATTTGTCAATATAACACAGAAGTCTATGATTGTAAAGACCACCTAGCAAATCATCATTTTGTAGTTCAGGTTTGTTGGTTATGGCTTTATAATTACCCTGATAATTATATCTGGTAGCAAACCTGATACTCTGTATTAAAGATTCATAGGACAAATATGTTTCAAGATAAAATTGTATGCATACTACTGGAATAAATACAATGTGATTTATTTATAAATGAGAACAAATTAACAATGAATACTATTTCAGAAGTTAAAGAGGTGACACTAATTGTACTGAATACACAACCTTTTATTTTTCTTCAAATCTGGAGTTTTTTAATTATACAAAGATGAGAAGTCAAGTTCTGTAACCTAAAAATATTTACTTATTAAAACTACATTAATACTTTCATAAACTATACAAAATGATGAGACAAACATGTACATTTATAGAACTGCATGTCAGTCATGCCAGATCCCTGGGGAGGGAATTCCCAGCACGACCTCATTTGTCTGTGAGGACACAGAGCAATCCTTGTTCAGGCATACACATTCAATTCCTCGTCCAGCATGGTCAGCGCTCTACTTCTTGATGGTTTCCCTCAGTTATGAATGTGCATGTCCACTTGTCTGCTTCCTAGAGCAGACATTTACCTAAAAGAAAGTGTTTAACAATCAGTTACTAGTTACTAATTTGGATCTGCACCAAAAAAACCCAACAATTTTTTTTTAAACCTTTTTTCAAAAGACACTTTGATAACAAAATTCAATAAATTTTTCAAGGGTTAAGATATATTTTTCCAAATAAGATGTCTAAATAATAACAAAATAGTGGGTAACTTCTATTTTCCTGAAGAAAACTTCCCTAAGAAGATACTTTCCAAAATGAAATCTCTGCAGAGTAATTTCAGATTTTAAGTTACCTTCCTCATCCACCAGCCATTGGAGGAGGACTAGGGCCACGTAGATGATTAATTCGACCCATTCTTCTGGGAGGGTTGCCTGGTGGCCTAATAAAAGAAAAATTTAATTTCTACTGTTTAGTAGACATCAAGTGGTTCCTTTCAAACACTCAGACCCCTTTCTTTATTTAAAATAGGAACTAACCAATTAGATCAGCAGTTGAGAAAATTCAAATAGTTACAGGGACCAGACACTTAATGTACATGAGAAAAGTGAGTCAAGCAAGAAATTGTGATGACCTAACTACTTCCTGTATATAAATGCCCAACTGAAACCCAGCTCCATGGAAATACAAGTCCAACCCCGTGCTGCTTCATATCCTCTTTTTTGATTTAGCAGTGGAAATCCAGATTCTAAAGTGATATCTCTAGATTTAATGGTGGTCATCAGTTTTCATCCTCTAATTTAGACTTTTCCCATAGGATATTTGATATACATTTTAGCTTTGTCAAATTGACTCTAATTATCAAATCAGAGGCAACTTGACTTAATTTACAGTAAGGCATTAATTTTGTGAAATAGATTTTAAACCTTTTATTTCCATGAGCCTATATCTATCCATCTATAATATTTAACTTAATTAAAATTACGGAGTGGTAAAATATCTATTATCAATTTAAAAAGCTCTACCCTCTTCCATCATCATATCTGGAATCAGAGGAGTTTCCATAGCCTCTTCTCTTTTTCACATCTTGCTGAAGCAGAGTCTTGAAACTGAAACAAGGGGCAGAAAACAAAAATACCACTTTCAACATTATAAAATATATCTCCATAGTTTCGGTTATGTCTGTGAACAGATGACTAAACCAACTTAGTTCCAACCCCACGTTTCTTGAAGCCAGCTGGACAACACCATGTAGCACATGTCTACACAGGTGCTATGTTCTGGGCCAAAGCCACCATTCCTTGTCTTTCTTACATGCTAATAGGTCTCCTTGACAGAGTCTAGGAGTGACTCTGAAACCGGAGCCATCCCCAACTTCCTTCCTCCACTCAGCTGTCAGGCCTGAGTCTGTTTTTACAGCACTGCACATTCATTTCCCCCACATTTCCCATGCCAACAGACTACCTAATGCTACCTTGCTGAGGGAGGAGCCTAAGGTGGTGTGCCAGAGACACAGGGCTTCTGGGAATCCATCTGAATGGAATTTTCTTTACTTGTGGACAGGAAAGAATTTAAGTTAAAACAATATTTAAAAAAAAACAACAGGTGGGGCGCCTGGGTGGCTCAGTTGGTTAAGCGACTGCCTTCGGCTCAGGTCATGATCCTGGAGTCCCGGGATCGAGTCCCACATCGGGCTCCCTGCTCAGCAGGGAGTCTGCTTCTCCCTCTGACCCTCTTCCCTCTCGTGCTATCTCTCATTCTCTCTCAAATAATAAATAAAATCTTAAAAAAAAAAAAAAACCACAACAGGGAGTAGGTGAAATGTGAGACTTTAAGGAAGTTTTGCACTGGGTAACTTAAGGCCCCTCTGTCCCATTGTATTTTTCTACAGAACCATCTCTTCCATTTTTCCCCCCTTCTATTTATGCTACATGCAGTCATCAGATTAATCTTTTTAAATCACAGCGACAATCCAATTAAGTATAAAGATCACAGTCTGCTATTCAAACTTCTCTGCCATCTTCCCTGTGTTTCTTCCACCTGGAGTAACTTCTTCTGATGTCCACCTCCCACAATCATGCCCAGCCCAACACCCATTGTAGTATGAATTAAGTCAACGAAGGAAGGGGCAGTCTTCCACATCTCTGCACCCCTGCAGTTCTCTGCCATGTGACATTCAAATATAAATATATATATATTAGCATGAGTAAGACTTGTTGGTAGTTGATGAACAATTTTCACAAAACAGCATGGGAAAAACCAAAGAATGCATTTAACTAAGAATTGCTTGAAATTATGGTAGAGTTTAAATTTTTGTCTCCTGTGTCAAATCTAACAATTTAAAAAACAAATTTACTACTTGGGATATTTTTTTATCAAGATCTAACTCCCCTTGTTGGTTTATTGTATAATATGGAGTAAAAGCTGCACACACTACAAGTGAAACAGCAGAGAGAAAGTGAGGCACTGTCATTTGGCATTAGAATAGGGAGGCCTGGTCCCATAGATGCAGATTAAAATGGTTACCACCAAGGCTAAGCCACAGTCAAGCTACTTAACTATCATATTCATACTTGTCAGATGTTTGGGGCAGCTTTACTACCACAAAAGTCTTAATTTCACTTAGCAAAGCTAATAATTAAAATATATACATTATAATTAAAAACTGTTTCAGAAAACCTCAGCTTGTTTAAGAACCTCAACATAATGTACCTAATGTACTTCTGTTAACTTAAATATCAGGGCTAGTAAGAGCAGTTAACACTTACAACAAAACCACAAACTCTGCTATTCCCCAGAAGAAATCTGTTATCAAAGATAATCTCCATGGGGACTGACTCCGGCTGTCCAATACTTGTCCTACAGACAAGAAAAAAGAAACTTCAGTTAGTACTACAAATCCCTGACACAACATGTATTACAATTAGTTGCTTAGGGAACAAGACGACTCAGTTTTCAACTTGTTCACTCTTCCAGATGGCCAACACAAGGAAAGGTTTGTTATGTGTGCATCCTTCTAAGGAAGGGTTCAGGGAAGTAAAGCTCTATGATCTAGGGGCCATTCTTTTAACATGTCAAATGTTTTCCTATGTTCCTAATTTTGGTGAGTGACAATTCAGGTATTTTTTTCTCTTTTTAAATTATGGCAAAATATAAATTAAAAAATTCCCATTTTAACCATTTTTAAGTGTACAGCTCTATGGCATTAAGTACATTCACACTGTTGTACAACCATCACCATCTTCCATCTCCAGAACTTTTTAAATCTTCCCCCAGCTGAAACTCTGTACCCACTCAACACGAACTCTGCTTTTCTCCCTTCCCCTACTTCCTGGCAACCACCCTTTTACTTTCCGTCTCTATGAATTTGACTGCTCTAGGAACCTTATATGAGGAATCAAACAGTATTCTTACTTAGATGACAGGCTTATGTCTTCAAGTCTCATCCATGTTGTAGATGTGTCAAACTTCCTTCTTTTTAAGGCTAATAATCCATCATGTGTATAGGCCACATTTTGTTTATGCATACATCTGTTGATGGACATTAGGTTGCTTCCACCCACTGGCTATTGTGACAATTCTGCTATGAATGCCGGCGCATGAATCTGTTTATTCCAGTATTTTGAGGAAACAAATGGAATGAGTGAATATAGAAGAATATTCACACCACTTCCACTTTCCTAAATGTGAAAATATTTCTTTTCACTTGCAAAGTCTCTTTCCTGTATAAAAAAAGTTGTTTATACACACTCTTACAAATCTTTACAGTTATGTTAAAATTTCCATAAATCAAAGAGTCTGGGTGTTCTAAGTACTGAAGAGAATTTGCCTTGTTCATTAAAGTAACTACTATTTTTCTGTAATTCCACTGTAATGGGATGCTGTTGATTCCAATTATGGATTCCAGGTTTTTTTTTTTTTTTTAAACATATTTGAGAGGGAGAGAGAAAGAGAAGACAGGCACACACTAGCGGGGGAAAGGGCAGAGGGCCTGAGGAACAAGCAGACTCCCCACTGAGCAGGGAGCCAGACACTGTGCTCAATCGGAGCCGCGAAATCAGGAGTCGGACACCTAACCAACTGAGCCACCCAGATGCCCCTATAGACTCCAGTTTTGTCTTAAGCACAAATGAGGATCTATTTTTCAAACCACTTTAAATAATGGAGCTACATGAAAAGTTAGTGCTCTAAGAGTTTTAGCCTTGAGAATTAAAAGGTCAGAATATTTTGGGAAAAGAGCTGTCAACCACTTCTCCTCTCCATTTTCTCAAGGGCTTCACCACACTCACCTCCACCCCCTCTGTCAGGGTCTACAATTCCTCTTTGTCTCCCTTACGTTCAAGGATCCACTTGGACCTGAGCTCTCAATGGAGCTATTGACAAAAAAGGGATACACTTCAAGACAGAGCATGGGTGACGCGCTTGGTTCTGCCTCTTACTAGCTCTGCTTCATTGGCTGATGTGATATTTTCCTGCTCTGAGAAAAAGTTTCGCAAGGCTAGTCATCATTTAGGATTGCTGAAGAAAAAGTCATGTGACAGTAAATGTTTCCTCACTGTGAAGTGCTGATAAATTCAATCCTTCTAAAAGACATTTAACTAGAACACATCAATTCCTTCTTTGTGACTCTAAAGAACCCTTTGTATGCACTTGCATTGTTCTATCTTGCTTTTAGCACTTTTCCCTCCTAGTTTCGGAAGGCAGAAACCTCCTCTCCCAATATCCGCAGAGGGAAATAAGTTGCTTGGATGTAACTGGCATTTTTCAACTATAAAAGTGAGATAAAAGGCCTTAATAGGACCTTTATATTATTTATATGGATCCACTATTAAGGGACAGGTGAGGCTAGGTAGGGGAGAGATAGGTAGGGGGCTATGGGATCAGGCTCACAAAAATCACAAAAATATCGAGGTGTAAGGAAACCAGAGATAAGGGAACGAACCAGACCACCCTGGCCTAGGTGTCAGAGGTGGGGTCTTGTTATAACAGCTACTTGTGACCAACAAAGAATTATAGACCCTAAAAAGGAAGTAAGCCATTGAAGGTGTTATTACTAGTCCTTACTCAATGGTGCTATCAATAGAGATGTTAAAAGGATTTAAGTTCCCTGGTTAGTTTTCTATAAAAGACCAACCCTAAAGGCCCTCAGTGGCAACCCTGTCAGGACCCCTCTCACTCCTGAGAGCTTTTTCTGTATCCTCACTTAATAAAACTCCATCGCTTTACTCACTCTCTTATCCTCGACATTCATTTTTCGACTCAGTGAGACAAGAACCTCACTCTGCCACTTCACTATGACAGTGCATACACACGAAGACATACTACAAAGAATTACTCAATAATGCATAAATAGAAGCTGCCAGCCACAAAGGACAGAACACAAAGTCTGCAAGTGCCCCAAATTAGATGAAACTTTGATGCTTTTGTGTAGGGTCCATCAACCTACTTGTTTCATTTTTAATTGGGCCAGGAGGAGGGGAGCCATTTTGAAGTGCAGAAAAATGCCAAGTGCACTCAGCCAGAAGACTTCTCACTCAATTATCTTAATCCTCTCTGAAGATAAACGGATGACTCAAATAGAACAAGGACCTAGCTCCAGCGATCCTGCTTAAGATTGCACGAAGGCATTGATTTCACCTGAATCAAACAGGTGGGCAGACAGTTTTGGCAATGGTCTGACCCAGTCATATTGTGTCCTCCCTTTCCAGACACTTTTTTAAATTAAAATTTATTTGTTTTGGAGAGAGCGAGAGATCAAGCGCAGCGGGTAGGGGCAAAGGGAGCGAGAATTCCAAGCTGACTCCCCGATGAGCGCGGAGCCCCAGGCGGGGCAGATCCCGCTACCCCCAGATCATGAGCCTCAGCTCAGCCAAACCAAGTGTCCGATGACGCTCAACCGACTGAGCCACCCAGGTGCCACCAGACACTTTCTTTAGAGAGTCACTGAATTAAGTCACTCTCAGATTCTCTACTCTGGGACTAGTTACCTTGTTCCTACAGGGGGCGGTGCTTCTTACTGTGCCCCTTGGAATTAGGACAAAAAAAAATTACGTGTATGACTAGCTACCAACTCCTGGGGGCGGGGGAGGGGGAAGGGAAGCCTATTCTATTTACTTAATTCTCCTTATACATTACAGAGAAAGACCGTCTAGTCGATAACAGCAAGGACGCTGAAAACCCGACTGAACCATTAACTACCTCAGCGATGCTAGGCAACCTACTGGACCTAGGGGCGCTTCAGAATCTCCGCCCCCAAAACGGGAGAACAAAACAACTACCTGAACAGGGCGCTGTAGAGACTGAATAGGTTGATAGCGAAAAAGTTAAAACAGCGCCTCACACACGGGCGCTACGCAGACGGACGGTGTTAACCCTGTTGTCATTACTAGCTAAGGACGCGGGCGTCCGAGAGCAAAGACCACGTTGGCGACACCCAGTCAGAAGGTGGGCGAGGGCGCCAGGCAGCCGGCACCGTCGTCACCACCCGGACCTCGGCCCCCGCCTGCGGGCTCGGGGACGCTCGGCTGACGCGGCGCAGGGCCGAGCGACTTTAGGAAAGCGGCGCCGGGCCGGCGGGCGAGGATGGAAGAAACCCGGGTCCGGCTTCCCGGGCCAGCGGCCGCCCCCAAGACCCTACAACTCACCATTCGAGATGTAAACCATCTTTACCCCGTGTTCCCGTCTTCTGGAGCGACTGAGGGGCTTGGCCCCTCTCGGCCTCGGTATCTCCCTCTGCGCCCCGCCCTTGAACGTCACAGCCCACGGTTAGACCAATCGGCGACGGAGGAAGGAGGTGGACAGAACCCATTGGCTGCTGGGACGGACACGCACACGACTGCCGTTTTTTTTGCGTCGTCATGCTGGCGACTTCCGGTAGAGCGAGGGCTGCCGGGCAGGTGACCGGAAGTGATGTTTGGGACTTAACCCGTAATCGCGCGCTTTCGTGACTCCTGGAGTTGAGCATTGAAGAGTTCGTGTCCACCGCCCGGTGAAGAGAACTTGTTTTCACTAGTTGCTTGATGGGCCCAGGGTCGGGAAGGCGAAGCTCTACATGTACAGTGGCTTGAAGAAGTGCTGGCAGGAGGAAGTTCCTGAGAATATTCCAGAAGTGTTGATATTTGAGGGTGTGGAGGGCAGTGCCTTCCTGGTGAGGCGGTGACCAAACCCTACGGAGCTTTATTGTCCTGTTTTCGGAATATACAGACAGGCACCCACTAGATGTCTTCATTCTTTGTAAAACCAGCCTTTCTGCTTTTGATTCACCAGAAGCGAATGGAATTATTAGCTATTGTGAGGCAACCGTGAAAAATAAATCTGTAGCGCGAGACCGTTCTGTTACTGTTTCTTATTGATGGCCACGTGGCAATCTCTTTCCTGTCTCAAGGCTTTTGTACTTGGCTGTCCTAAGCGAAGTGCTAATGGCTGTGACCACCCCCCCCCGCCCCAGCCAAGTCCCGAGTGCTCAAGCCACGTGTCAGCTCGAAAAGGTTACCTTTTCGAGATGATTATATTTTGCACTTAATAGTGTTGGTTAAGATTTTAAGAATGTCCTAGAACAAACGTTTAATGTTGACTTTTGGGGGAGCATTTACCCCCCAAAAAATGTATAATAGGAAAAGACCGCATCCTTTACTTCTTTTGAGATTTTTGCAGCACAATCATAGAGGATCATTTTTGCAAAAATATTGCAAAGGATCATTAATTGTACCAAGGACCTTTTTTAACCTGGACCATGTCCCCATCATCTCTTACCTGCTCTACTCTCCTTGCCTTCCAACTGAAATTTCAGCTTCCACCTTTGTCAGCCTTAACCAGTTTTTCACACTGCAGCAGGAGTGATTTTTTTTTTTTTATAGAAATCATCTCATTCCCTTGTATATAACCTTTAAGACACTAAAATTTAGTGACTTCCTATTGTTCTTAGAATGAAATCCAGTTCCTTCTCATGGTCTACAGGCTTATCATGACCTATCCACTTCATTGTGCCTTTCACTGTACCTTGTGCCACAATCCCCACCCACATTGTGCTCTACCAACATTGTTCTTTAGTTTCTGAAGCACCTCCAAGTTCTTTCATGCCTCCCAAGACTCTGCACATACTTTTCCCTCCACCTGGAGTACTCTTCCCCTGGTTCCTTTCACATCGCCTCCTTTTATCCTTTACATCTCAGTTTAAGTGTCACCACTTCTGAATACCTTTTCCTGGCCACTCATCTCCATGATTATTTTCTCCATAGTGCTTGACAATGTGAAATTATTCTATTTATCCAGTAATTGATTTTTGTCTCTTTCAAGAAAATAAAAGATCTAAGAAGTCAGGAACCCCACCTGCCTTGTTGCCTTTTATATCTTCAAGTTATATCATAGCCCTTGGCAGATAGTAGGTACCCAAATATTTGTTGGTTGACCTGGGGGTGGGGGGGGAGATATCTTTCTAAAAGGTCCCTAAAAAATTCACCAGTCAACAAAAGAGGAAGGGAGCTAACACTGGGATCTCTTGAGTACCAGACTTTGCTATCTCTTCCTTTCCATTTCCCTGTCTTGATCATTTCTTCCTGAGATTTAATGCAGTGATACCTTTAGCTTGTCCCACTCCATTTTATGGTATACCTAACTGCCCATTTAATCCAATTTTGCCTCCTTCCTGCTCACAACCTTCACTTTCTCCCATTCCTGCCACCTAACAAATAATGCCCAGCCTCCCTGGTCTAGCACTGATTCCCTGATATATCTCCTATTTGTCTCCATGACTTCTAATTTCCTGACAGACCCCTTGCTTTCCTGCCTGTTGTTTCTGCTCATGTGTTTCTTCTTGATGGAAATTTTCCACACTTCATAAAATCTAATCCATCCTTCAAAGCGAGGCATGTTCCTATCAAATGGAGTAATGCATGTGAAGGGACTTTGCAAATTGAAAAAAAAAAAGTGTAATTAGTGGCAAGGTGGGTGGGGGACAAAGATAACATTTCCTCTAGTTCCCTAACCTTCAATGTCTAGAACTGCATGTTAACTACTTAGGCTGAGTTCATATGTGCTGTGCATACAAAATACACAGTAGGTTAGAAGGACTTAAAATGAAAAAAAATGTGAAGTATCTCAATTTTTTAATATTGATTACATGTTGAAATTACATCATTTTGGTTATTGGATTACATAAGATATTTTATTAAAAGTACTTTTATTTATTTCTTTTTGCTTATTTAATGTGACTGCTAGAAAATTTAAAATCACATACTTGGCTTACATTTAGGGTTCACATTACATTTCTGTTGGATACTGCTGGTCTAGAATGAAGACATTGGCCTGGCACAGAAAAGACACTCGGTATATATTTGTTGAATGAATGAATGAATGAATGAATGGTCTTAATACTGGATAACATTTTAGTATATGTGCTGCCAAAGTCAGCATCATAATGAATAATACTTACACAGGGTTAACCCTGTGTCAGACACTGTTCTATGCACTTTCCACTTATTAGTTCATTTAATTCTTACAATAACAATAATGATAGCTAACATTTATATAGCACTTACCCTGTGCAAATGCAATGTTCTAAATGCTTTTCATGGATTAATTCATTTAAACTTCAGCCTTATCAAGTGGATTCTACTATTATTCCTATTTTATAGATGAGGAAACTGAGTCATAAATAGCTCAAGTGACTTGCCCAAGGTCACACAGCTAGTTAAGAAGCAAAGCAGAGGTTAAGACCAAGAGTGTGGCTCTATAGTTTGTGCCCTTGACTCCTGTACTATACTTTCTCTCCACTCAATAACAGTTATTAAAACAATAGTACTCAGCATAGAAGGGGAGGTCGTTTCTGGAGATTGAATGTGTCTCAGTTTTCTCAAAGTTACAAAATAGCTTCCTCTAGTTTTTCTTCTCTAGACATCCCAATGCATAAAATTTCCCTAAGCCTCAAAGTTAATCACCTTCCCATCTCTGCACCAATCCCTTGGCCGGAGGGATGGGCTATTGCAGAAGGCAGCTACCTCAGGAGCTGGAGTCAATCCCACTGCTTTCTGTCCCTTCCACATTGTTTGGGAGTTGCAGAGGAATAGTGTTTACCACAAGGTAAGGAAGGGATATTGGGTTGCATTAAAACAATAAGATGCCCTCAATATTGCCTTTAGGGAACATGGAAAATACTTGGCATTTATAGTCTTTATTAACCTTTTATGTGCTTATTCCTTACAGTTATTGCCTTGTATTCTTTATTGCATTCAGTCTCAGAAATCTTAGCTCTTTAAGTGTCTCATTTTTTGACTGATCATTAAAAGCATATTTCTAATATTTTTAGACTTGCATTCCCTAGTGCAAAAAAAGTATTGCTTTCTAAGCCTTATCTCTGGATCCTGAAAAATGGAGTAAAGAAATAGAAATGTACATTCTATTACTGTAAGTCTCAAGATAACATTGACTTTTATGTTTGCAAAAATTAGAGTGGAGATACGTGTCCATTGATCTTAAGGAACATATGATTCATTATTATTTTTCACTAAATGGCTCAGGGCAGAGCATTTAATTATAGTCCTTAGATCTGTTTCTGTTTTAATGTGATACCTGAGCAGGGCACCTGGGTAGCTCAGTCAGTTAAGCGTCTGCCTCTGGCTCAGGTCGTGACCTGGGACTGAGCCCAGTGTTGGGCTCCCTGCTCAGTGCGGAGTCTACTTCTCCCTCTGCTTCTACCCCTCCCCACCCCCTGCTTGTGCACGCACGCTTGCTCGTGCACGCATGCACACTCTCTCTCAAACAAATATTTAAAAAAATAATGTGATACCTGAGCATGATATAAGAAATCGAAAGATACCAATGGATATTCCATGAAGAACATGTCTTCTTTCTTCCCATGTAACTCAGGATGCTAAACTTTGATCCTCTAGTTTAGTGAGGATGTTGTAAGCACTGGTTGGCAAATTCCTCTTGGGCAATAGTAACTTTCATGACAGGCTCACCTCTTTCAAGTTCATCTTCTCTTGGATCTTTGCCAAGCAATTCCTCACTTATTAGCTCTCTGATGTTTTGAAATGTCTTTTTTTAATTATTTATAATATATCTATATTATCTTCTTAGTTGTCCTCTGAAGGAATTTCATAGCATATTACTTAATTCTCCATAGCAGAATGGAAGTTGATGCATTTATTTAACCAAATTAAAGTGACAATTTAGGTTAAGTCTTAAACACTGCTTTGCCTTTGGCTTTAACAATTCTGTTATGTATGTATAAATAGATTTTCTAGAACAACTGTTTTCCTAATATAGTCAAAACACATTATTTCTTGAGAGCAGAAAGGGTCATTATAAATAGTAAGTTAAAATGTGTGGGTGATTTAAAATTATTTTGCCAATAAACATTCTGCTTTTAATCTTTCCACAACCAAACAGATAAATAAAACCATACTTTGGCTTGACGTTCTTGTTTCCTTCATTGGCAGGTTCATTGAAAAAGGGTTTATTTTATAGCCTCTTAAAGGAAATTTCTTTATGGCCCAGTGATGAGTGTTCCTTAGAAAGATTGTTAGCCAGGCTCAAAAGGATCCTGGAGGAGGTTTCTGTCACCTCAACTCAGTGGCCAGACAGGCTATTGCTGATGCCTCAACATCATTTTTCCTTACTAACTGTATAACACAGCAGCTTGGTTAATATCACCCAAAGTCAAAGATGGTTCTTAACTTCACAAATTCATCTTTCACCATGATCAGTAATTCATCTCTTTTGCTATGAAACCCTAACTT